CCCTAAGACGGCCAAAGAGGCCCCCGATAAGCCCCCTAAGGCCCCCAAGTGGCCCAAGGAGGCCCCCACGATGCATCTAAGAGGCTCCCAGGAAGCTCCCAGGAGGCCCCAAAAGTGCCCCCAGAGGCCCCCTCCTTTTTCCTCCTCCTCCTGATCTTCCCCGCCATCCTCCCCTAAGTGTGCCCCGAAGGGTTTCCACAACAGCTGGGGGAACACATGGTCCGATAGCTTGGCAGAGCTCTTGCCACAACGCTCGGCCACATGGGCGATTCCAACAGGCAGGGGGCGGCGGTGATTCGCCGTAGGACTCTTCGATAGTTATTGGTGATCCCTCCTACCGGTGCCTGTTGCGTTTTTCAATCGAAGTGCACCCTCCAGCTCTCGCATCCGGTCCCTGTCGGAAGAGCTCTTGATGCTCAAATGCGCCCCGGGGCCCCCAGGATACAGCAACAACGGCTACCGCCTGAGACGCCCCCAATCTACAGTCGGGGTGGATTGGAGAGGACACAAGACTCTTCCGATGGCCACATTGCCAATGAAACGTAGAGGGCATGGGTCGCGAAGCAAAGGACACAAGGGCACCATTGTTTGGGCAGGGTCGACCTACTAATCAAACTCGACTGTATTCAGGACTCGCGCTCTTGATCGAGACTTCCTGGCAAACGAGACTCACGGACATCGCGGCCTCGCCCGAGACTTCCCCAGAAGAGATTTTAGAAAAAAATCGCGCTCCCGCCGCCCAGGAAAGTCGCGCGCACGCCTTGGGAAATTTCTTTGCTCATGATGTTCCAACCTACTTTAGCCTTGATCACCAGGAAGAACCTCGAGCACCGCAAAAGTACCGAAACTCGAGGGTTTTCCCGTGTCGGGCCCTGGGAGACACTCGTCCGACCCTGTTTCGACACTGTTTCGACACTTTTCCAGGTGCTCGAAATTATTTCTGGGATGTGGTCCTTCAGTAAGATGGGAGCAACCTAACTCTTTGCAACCTCTCGAAAATCGCTCCCTCTCGCCAGTCAGGAAGTGCACCTGCGCCCAGTACATCATCTCGTTTTTGTGCAGGACTCGCGCTCTCGCCTGGAAAAGCTCCTCGCGATCTAGAATCAAAACTCGCGCAACATATGTCCCGCCCGCCCGGCCCGCCTGTTGATGTCTGCCCGTTGCGCAACTTGCTTGGAAGCCCACCCTCCCGCTTTTTTTAGTCCCTGCCCAGGAGCCGCCCGCCTGCTTCGCCTGGTGTGGTCCGGCCGCCCGGCCCGCCCTTTTCAAGTCTGCTCGCCTGACCCGCCCGTCCGGGTCCGCCCGCCCGATCTGGCCCTCTTACCCTGGACAGCAAATAGACGAGCGCGTTCCACTACTCGCAAAGCAACTGCTCGCAAATGGCCTGGATCCCCCCCGCAGGACCTACGATAAATAACATCGAAGCGGACATGTGCTTTTTCGGACGATTGCGAGTAGGCACTTTGTGAGTAGTGGAACGCGCTCGGCGAGCAAAGGTCCCCCCAAAGGTGGTACGCTCATACACGAACAAGGGAGGTGTCGAGGGCGAGGGTTTGGGGCATGCGTAGCGAATGGTACGTGGGCAACGAAGCGGGCTGCCTTAAATCTATGATTGTTGTGGTCATCGCTGCGACCAAGCCCAAGCACTGGTGCCGAGATCATGCACCAAGGAAGGCTGGAGCCACGCGATGATCAATCTGCAGTAGGCGAATCAACACGCGGAGTCGTGGCTTGCGCAATAGAAGGGCTCTTAGAAAGGCTCGGAACCTTCTGAGACTTCCCCTAAGACTACGGGAGGACTTCGAAGACGCTCCCTGGCTTCTCAGAAGGCCGCCCTCCTTGCCAAGTCCCCTTTTGCGCGCCGCCGACCTCGAAGCAACACGCTTTTCGCAATTCTCGGGCGGGTGGTAATGGGGGGTGACCCACATGGGGCACGTGGGGGGGTGAAGAGAAGGGCTTTAAAGGGGCCCGTTAGGGCTCGTTTTTGAGCCAGGCCCAAAAGGGCCTCTAAAGGGCCCCTTTGGGGCCTTTTTCTTTACCCCCGATTTGGGTCATCTACCCATCACCACCCGCTCGCCCTTCGGCCTTCGGGCCTCGGGAATCCCGTCATCGGGCCCGAGGACGTCAAACACGGCCCTGTGACGAAGCACGGGCCCCGAGCCCCCCGAGAAGCCTGGGGCCCACACAGGGAAACGGCCACGGCGTCGAAGCTCTGGGCTTCGTGGGGCCCCGATCTGGCGCGCCCCTCGCCATCTCTCGGGACCGGGAGGCGGGAATGCAGGGGGAGGAAGATCGAGGATGAAGGCTTGAGGAAGCTCAGTAATCGATGAGCGACAAGGGAGATCCACGAAGGTTATGCCCAACCGTCCTGTGGTGCTGGGTCGTCGTTTTGAGAAGACAGCGCCCTGCTCCACCTCACCTTCCACCCTCTGCCCTCCGCATGTCCATGTCGGCATACCCCTCACACTTTTCGTGGCCCCACAAGGAGCTCCGACTAATGCCCCAATGGCAAGGTTCGCATGCGGTACCCGCTTCCATGTGGGCACACTCCTCACTCGCTTCGTGGCTCTTCAGGGAGCTTCACCGAAGCCCCCCAGTTGCAGGGTTCGCATGCAGTACCCGCTTCCATTTCAGCACTCTCCTCACAGGTTTCGTGGTCCCATAAGGTGGTCGACTGGGCTCGCATGCGGTACGTGCTTCCATTTCGGCACTCCCTTCGCACGTTTCGTGGTCCCACAGGGAGCTCCACCGAAAGCCCCACTGGCAAGCTCCGCAAGTGTTACCCGCCGCACTTCCGGCACACTCTCACATGTTTCGTGGCCCCATAGGGAGCTCCCCTCCTTCGTCCCACCTGCCTTCCAGTACCCACGCCTACCTATGGTTGGGCCCTTCGCCAATCCAATTTCTGCCCTATGCAGCGAAAGCGATGGGGGTCCCACTTGCATTTTGGGAGCCCGTTTCCGAGCTACCGAGTGCGAGAAGTGTGCCGCCCGCGCGCCGTGCCTTGCAACGCCCGCGCTCTACACTGCAAAATTCATGTGCCGCCCGCGTGCCGTGCCGCGAGGTGGTGTGCCGTGCCGCTGCGTGCCGTGCCGTGCCGTGCCCGCGTGCCCTGCCGCCCCCACGCGCGAGAGCACGAACACGGTGCCGCCCGCGTGCCGTGCCGTGCCGGCTCAAGCACGCAGGAGTCCGGCCCGCGTGCCGTGCCGTGCCGCCCGCGTGCCGTGCCTGCATGCCATGCCGTGCTCGCATCCTACCTCTGGAAAGGTCTGCCGCCCGGGTGCGGCGCTGTGCGAGGAATGTGTCGCCCGAGTGCTGTGTCGGGCCCAGGTTGGAGAACGAAGCAGAAGAAACGGGTGTCTGGGATCACCGTGGCCGTCGGCAGGCTGATGAAGCAGGCCCGGTGCAGCCCGCGTGCCGCGACGTGCCCGCGAGTCGTGCCGTGCCCGCGTTCTAGGCTGCGAGCAGGCGTGCTGCCCACGTGCCGCGCCCGCGCCCGCGCTCCAGGATGCGACGGCCTGCCGCGCCCGCGCGCCGTGCCGTGCTCGCGCGCACAGTGCGCAAGCGGTGCCGAGCCCGCGCGCGGTGCCGCGCCCGCGCTCTGGACTGCGAGGGTGGGGGCCGCCCGCGCGCGCCGTGCCGCGCCCGCGCGCCCGCATGCGAAAGGGCTGTGCGGCCCACGAGGCCGGGCCGCGCCGTGCGCGTGCCGCGCGCGTGCCCGCGTGCCGTGCCCGCCGTTGGCTTCTCGGAAGGCGGGGAGCGTGTGCCGCCCGCGTGCCGGTGGGGCGCGGTGCCCGTGCCGTGCGCGTGCCCGCGTGTGCCTTGCCGTCCGCGCGGACTTCGATGCCGAGACTCAACGCGTACCTTCTCGTGCACGGTTGTCGTTTTGAGCCTTTTCGGCCCCGTCTCGGGCCTCCAGGGGCCCCCAGAGACCTTGGACCCCATCAGCCTGGTGCAACGACCTGGTCCCTCCTCCTCCTCCTCCTCTTTCTCCACCTTTGCCTCTCCTTCTCCTTCTCCTTATGCTCCTCCTTCACCTCCACCTCCCCTCTCCTCCATTCTCTCTCTCTCTCTCCCCATAATGCTCCTCCTCCCTCCCTCCCTCCCCTTCCTTCTCCCCCCCCCTTCCGCCTTCCCACCTCTTTTTTCTCTCCACTGGCTCCCCCACCTCCCCAGCAAGCTCTGGAGCGCGCTCTGCCTAAGAAGACCGACCAGAAAATTGCAACAACCCTCTTCGACGACGACGAGGACGACGGCTGGACTTCCAGACGACGACGACAACGACGACGGTGATGCGGACGGACCACGGACGGCTGGACGGACGGACGGGCGAAGACGAACGTCGCCCTCTGCCTCAGTGAGTCTCCAGAGGCCTCCAGAGGTTTCAGGAGGTCCCAAGGGCCCTCGGAAGGCCGGGAAACGTGCAGAAGGGCCCCCAAACCTCGACGCGTTATCCGAACGCCTCGGCCCTCCTCCTCGAGGGCGACGGCGAAGACAGCGTATAGTCGAAACGTGGCCAGCAAGATCGTGGGTAAAGAACACGAGCCGCGTCGCCGAAGGCCCCGGGCCCCATGATGCCCCAACACGAAGAGCTTTCCAAGATTCAGGCCAGGCATGTCCCCTTACAGGCGGATTTTGGACGAAAACTAAGAAATAGTCAAAACATGATCAAAAATAGTCAAGAATAGTCAAACAATCGCCGCCAGCACAATTTCTAAAATATCTTTGAATCTTCCTCCTGTAGAGGGACAGGCCCGACTTAATCCAAGATGGGGAGCCCCAACACGAAGAACGCAAGGGTACCCCTCGGAAGCCAGGGCTGCCCTTAGCCGTCGTGCCAGCCGTGTGGCGCCGACGACCGGCGACCGACGACGGCGGCGGCGACGAGCACGGCGGCGGCGACGAGAAAGACGACGACGACCGGCGGCGGCGGCGGCGGCAGCGACGACCGACCGACCGACCGACCGACCGACGGACGACGGCGACGACCGACGAGGGGCCCTGCTGCGAGCGCGCCGGTGGCCAAGCGTCCACCTTGCGGGGTGCAGCAGGAGGAGGAGGAGGAGGAGGAGGAGGAGGAGGAGGAGGAGGAGGAGGAGGAGGAGGAGGAGAAGGAGGAGTGTGTGTGTGTGTGTGTGCGCTGCCGGGGTGCCGCCGTGCGGGGCCGGCGTGCCGCGGGCGGAGGCCACCCGCTGCCGCCGTTGCCGTCGTCGTCGTAGGCGCCGTCGTCGTCGTCGGTCGCCGCCGCCGCCGCTGGTCGGCGGTCCTCGTCGTCGTCGTCGTCGCCGCCGTTGATCGTCGCTCGCCTGTCGTCGTCGTCGTCGGTCGTCGTCGTTCGTTCTCAGCGCCCGTCGTCGTCTGTCGTCGTCGTCGCCGTCGTCCGTCGTCTTCGTCAACGGTCGTCGTCGGTCGTCGTCGTCGTCGTCGTCGTCGTCGTCGTCGTCGTCGTCGTCGTCGTCCTCGTCGTCGTCGTCGTCGTCGTCGTCGTCGTCGTCGCCGCCGCCGCCGCCGCCGCCGCCGCCGCCGCCGCCGCCGTTCGTCGCTCGTCGTTTGTCGTCCGTGGCCCCTCGTCGTCATCGTCGTCGTCGTCGTCGTCGTCTTCGTCGTCCTCGTTCGTCTTCGCGCCGCCAGGGTGGTCTCACTGCCGATCCACAAGACTCGCGTGAACATCTGAAAATTTATGCTTAGGTATGCCGTACTTTGTCTTCCGAATCTTGACTTTCGCCTGCTTCCGCCTCCGCCGAAGGCGGTACGCTTCTAGAGCGCCTCACGCGAAGGTCAGGGACCGACCAAACTTAGCGTGCCGCTTGCTACTTTAGACCGGCGCTCAGGGCGACCGTCGTCTCTCACACTCGAGTGGGTCGACACGGGAAGCCATGCACTGATCAGAACAACACTGACCATGATCGTGTCGGTATTGTTCTTGATCACCAACTCCTTTTTTAGTGCGGCGCTTGGCCGAGGCCTGGGCGACCCTTCCGCTGCTCGCCGCCGCCCCGGGGACGCGGGTTCCCTCGCGAGGGGCTCCTCTTAGACTACGGGCTCCTCCTCAAGTGCGGCGCTCGGCCGACCCAGAAATGCAGCAGTTCGACTTTTTCGAAGCATGGGCCTCTCGACCACCCCCTCAGGGGCGGGTTTCTTGTCCCGAGGCGTCTTTCGACGGCCCTGACGGCCGAGACTGGACCCCGAGGGCCCAAACTGGCACAGAGCTGGACGCCTCGGTTTCCTGGAGCTGCGAGATGTCTGGGGAGGCTGAGGAGGAGGAGGAGGAGGAGGAGGAGGAGGAGGAGGGGGAGGAGGAGGAGGAGGGGGAGGAGGATGGGGGGGAGGAGGAGGAGGAGAGGAGGAGGAGGAAGGAGGAGGAGGAGGAGGAGAAGGAGGGGGAGGAGGGGGATGGGGGAGGCTGGGGCGACCCTTCGGCTACGCGCGAGAACGACCTGCGCAAGAGCGACCTCTGGTGTACCGCTTGAGGGGGGCGCAGGGGGCCAGACCCAAGCCCGCAAGCCGTTGCTGTCGCATCGCGTGCAGCGGCTGGGGCGCACCAGTGGGCCCGCGGCAAAGGTCACTCCAGCGACGGGTCACTCTTACGCGTACTCTGGGTTGGATATTAATCGAGGGGTGGGCGACTAACCTTCCAAAGGAGCTTGCCCATCCCCCCCCCTCCTCGACCTCCTCCTCCTCCTCCTCCTCAAATCCCCCCTCCAACCGTGCCGACAGCACGCGCCCAACCCCCCCAGCGGATCCAAAAGGGAGGGCGATCATTGCCCCATCCAAGGTATCCGAGCCCTCCGCTGCCCGACGCCGCTTTCCCCCGCCGCTCGGCGCAAAAGGTGCGGCTCGGGAAGTCTTGTCGCACGCGCCGGCCCCGGCCTCCGCTGCGATAGGTCGCGGCTTCGGGGCCCCCAGGGGGTGGGAGGGAACGCGGAGTAGGGGAAGGAGTAGGAGAAGGAGGAGGAGGAGGAGGAGGAGGAGGAGGGGGAGGAGGAGGAGGAGGAGGAGGAGGAGGAGGAGGAGGAGGAGGAGGAGGGGGGGACGGAGTAGGGGAAGGAGTGCGGCACGGAGCAGGGGACGGACCAATGTGCGGAGCAGGAGGGAACAGAGGATGAGACGGAGGATGAAGAGGAGGAGGATGGTGATGATGATGATGAGGAGGAGAAGGAGGACCAGTGTAAACCCAAGACGCATCAACGATGTTGCAATAAACCCTACCTCCAAATTCCCAGTACATTGTACACTACAAACATAGTTCATTTTCATTGACGGAAGATGACCGAAGATGAGGGAAGTGCCCCGGTGGAAGAGAACCGTTTGAAAACCCAGAATTGTGCCATATTTCCATGCCTGGGACCTCTACGCCGCGAATCACCGTGACTGTTGCGTCTAGACGATCCTGAATCGTGCGAAAACACAATTCCTGGGACTTCAACACCGTGAATCACGTAACTGTTGCGCCTTGACAGTCCGACAACCGTGCCACAACACCATGTCTGCGACGTTCACCATGAACACTCTTAAGACGGATGTACGAGGCGCTAAGGCGAGAACCACATTGAGAAATTGAGCCGTTTTCCATCCGTGAAACTCGTGCAAACTTTTGTGTGGAATGTGCGCGGCGCTAAGGCGAGAACCACGTTTTGAAAACGGACCGCCCTCCATCCGTGAAGCTCGTGCAAACTTTTGTGACGACTGTGCGCGGCGCTAAAACGAGAACCACATTTTGAAAATAACCGCCCTGCATCCGCGAAACTCATGCCGTTGTTCAAAACGAACTTGCGCGGCGCTAAATTCAGACCCGTATTTTGAAAACGGCCCGCCCACCATCCGCAAAACCCTTGCAACTCTCAAAACAAATGCGCGCGGCGATAAGGCGAGAACCGCATTTTGAAAACGACTCGCCCTCCATCCGTGAAGCTCTTGCAATTCTTTGAAACGAGTGTGCGCGGCGTTGAAGCGAGAACCACATTTTGAAAACGACCCGCCCTCCATTTGCGAAACTGTTGCGCATATTACGCTTCATGTCGTAGGTGGTGGGGAAATATCAAGCGAAACGCTCGGCCCGCCCTTTCGACCGGCCTCGGGGTGCGACAGGGAGGCGTTATGTATAAGGAGGAAGGATGGAGGAGGAAGATGGAGGAAGGCTAGAGGAGGGGGAGCGGGCGGATGACGGAGGACGGAGGAGGGGCACGGGCCCAGATGTAGGATGTGGGGGAAGAAATGGAAATCGGAGAAGACCTCAAGACGACGGGGCGCCAGAGGATGGTGGGGAGCCTGCTCGGCAAGGCGCCCTCCCATAGCCACCGCGGCCGGCCACGCCCAGCGGTCCTCCGAGAGCAATAAATGGCCAGGTATACCGCCCGAGTAATGACAGATCGCCTGCGATACGCTTGCCGCCGACGGCTGCCAGCAAGGAAGGTCTGAAAGGTCTACCTAACACTGTTGGTTGGGAGCGTCAGTGAGTTCAGTATGGTGTGCAGTTGTCAGCTGGTCAAGGTGCAGCACACCTCCAACCTTTTTGTCGTTGCGCCGCGCTTGCGCTCTGCATGCTGGCCCTGGTGCTATGTCATGACATGGTGGCGGACGCTCACACTGCCTTACACGATCTGAGCAAGATCCCGAACGTGTTGCCTTCGGCTCTGTGTTCTCTGGCGTACAATATTTTCACAATCCAGCTATCATCACTCCTGCCGCCGACACATGTGGTCCGGTCCAAAAAATCCATCGCCCCTTTGGCCACCAATCGTGTTGGCACTGCGACATGGCGGGCGAGCTGAAGGAATTACGGAGACTGCAAGCACGACGCACTGCACACATGACCAAACCGAGACAGCCGCGACGACGGAGTCAGACAACACTTGCGCACTACAACCCGCTGGATTAAAAAGTTGGGACGGCGGGGTTCGAGAGAGAGAGAGAGAGAGACGCTGTTGGCCACCCGTTAGGCCATGGGGCCCAGGACAATGTTGGATTTGATGCCGAATTGGGAGTTTCAGACGCATGCCTCACCCCCTTTAGTATTATAAACGCCAAATGGGGCCGGCGTCTGAAAGTGGCATTCCGCCTAGGACTTCTTCAAACAAATTTTCATATCGCCTTCCAGGGCGATCTGAAATTCTCCCATGCCGTCTGAAAGTGGCGATTTCGCCTAGGACTTCCTCACAAAAAGTTTCAGATCGATGTTCAAGCCGCCTGAGAATGGTCGTTTCGGTTAATACGTCCTCAAACAGCACTTGCAGGTTGCCTTCCATGCCGCCAGAAAACAAAGATATCGTGTGCGATGATTTCCATAACCATGTGCTGCAGAGCCCCACGCCCTGCGGAGCCGTTCCGTCATTCGGTTCACGGGCCTGCCTTGGAGTCATCTCGGGGTTGATCGATGGTGGAGGCTCGAGGGCCAGTCGACCGACGAAACCCGCGGGGATCGCTCTCTCGCATAGTGCCGGTCACAACTTTTTAATCCAGAGGGTGGTTGCAAAAAACGCTTGGTTTGGGCAATCCTTAGCGTTCGTGAAGCGACTGCGAACGGCAGTGCGGTGGGCCAATACGCACAGGTCAGATCAGTTGTGGTACTTGTCCACCAACCAGAAAGAGAGGGCAGAGGACTGCCTGCGGTCGAACCCGCCCGGATCTCGCACGAAGTGGTAAATGTGCGTCGCAGTATTAGAGGAATGTTGTGCGTGCCGATGTGGAGCATGGAAAACACGTGACAGTGACGCGACGTGCGCTGGCGGCGGTTGCAAAAAACGCTTGGTTTGGGCAATCCCCAGCGTTCGTGAAGCGACTGCGAGCGGCAGTGCGGTGGGCCAATACGCACAGGTCAGATCAGTTGTGGTACTTGTCCACCAACCAGAAAGAGAGGGCAGAGGACTGCCTGCGGTCGAACCCGCCCGGATCTCGCACGAAGTGGTAAATGTGCGTCGCAGTATTAGAGGAATGTTGTGCGTGCCGATGTGGAGCATGGAAAACACGTGACAATGACGCGACGTGCGCTGGCGGCGGTCAACCCGCTGGATTAAAAAGTTGGGACGGCGGGGTTCGAGAGAGAGAGAGAGACGCTGTTGGCCACCCGGTAGGCCATGGGGCCTAGGACAATGTTGGATTGATGCCGAATTGGGAATTTCAGACGCATAACTCGAGTAAGCGATTAAGGACCCCCCCCCCCCTCTCCGGTGAAAGGATAACGCACCCGGCACCCGGAAGCGTTATCCTGGCACCAGGAGGGGGTACACCAGATCGCACGGGTCCCACGGAGTCCCGCAGGTCTCGCAGGTCCCACAAGTTTCAAAGTGGTTCCCGTGTGAGGTCCCACAGGTCCCACGGGTGTCGCAGGGGAGGGGCTTCTTATTCTCATTACAATTCTAATTGGGATGCCACCCGAGGCGGGGCGCTGGAATTATTTATTTTCCTTCCATTTGCGCGGTGCTAATAACATCGCTCGGCGAACCCCCTCCCAAATAATTATTTAATTACGGCGCGGTGCTAATGATAACGCCGGGGGGTTCCTTAATTGCTTCTCCGGGTTACCTCGCCCCCTTTAGTATTATAAACGCCAAATGGGGCCGGCGTCTGAAAGTGGCATTCCGCCTAGGACTTCTTCATACAAATTTTCAGATCGCCTTCCAGGGCGATCTGAAATTCTCCCATGCCGTCTGAAAGTGGCGATTTCGCCTAGGACTTCCTCACAAAAAGTTTCAGATCGATGTTCATGCCGCCTGAGAGTGGTCGTTTCGCTTAAGACGTCCTCAAACAGCACTTGCAGGTTGCCTTCCATGCCGCCAGAAAACAAAGATTTCGTGTGCGATGATTTCCATAACTATGTGCTGCAGAGCCCAACGCCCTGCGGAGCCGTTCCGTCATTCGGTTCACGGGCCTGCCTTGGAGTCATCTCGGGGTTGATCGATGGTGGAGGCTCGAGGGCCAGTCGACCGACGAAACCCGCGGGGATCGCTCTCTCGCGTAGTGCCGGTCACAACTTTTTAATCCAGAAGGTGGTTGCAAAAAACGCTTGGTTTGGGCAATCCCCAGCGTTCGTGAAGCGACTGCGAGCGGCAGTGCGGTGGGCCAATACGCACAGGTCAGATCAGTTGTGGTACTTGTCCACCAACCAGAAAGAGAGGGCAGAGGACTGCCTGCGGTCGAACCCGCCCGGATCTCGCACGAAGTGGTAAATGTGCGTCGCAGTATTAGAGGCATGTTGTGCGTGCCGATGTGGGGCATGGAAAACACGTGACAGTGACACGACGTGCGCTGGCGGCGGTTGCAAAAATCGCTTGGTTTGGGCAATCCCCAGCGTTCGTGAAGCGACTGCGAGCGGCAGTGCGGTGGGCCAATACGCACAGGTCAGATCAGTTGTGGTACTTGTCCACCAACCAGAAAGAGAGGGCAGAGGACTGCCTGCGGTCGAACCCGCCCGGATCTCGCACGAAGTGGTAAATGTGCGTCGCAGTATTACAGGAATGTTGTGCGTGCCGATGTGGAGCATGGAAAACACGAGACAGTGACGCGACGTGCGCTGGCGGCGGTCAACCCGCTGGATTAAAAAGTTGGGACGGCGGGGTTCGAGAGAGAGAGAGAGAGACGCTGTTGGCCGCCCGTTAGGCCATGGGGCCCAGGACAATGTTGGATTTGATGCCGAATTGGGAGTTTCAGACGCATACCTCACCCCCTTTAATATTATAAACGCCAAATGGGGCCGACGTCTGAAAGTGGCATTCCGCCTAGGACTTCTTCAAACAAATTTTCAGATCGCCTGCCAGGGCGATCTGAAATTCTCCCATGCCGTCTGAAAGTGGCGATTTCGCCTAGGACTTCTTCACACAAAGTTTCAGATCGATGTTCATGCCGCCTGAGAGTGGTCGTTTCGCTTAAGACGTCCTCAAACAGCACTTGCAGGTTGCCTTCCATGCCGCCAGAGACAAAGATTTCGTGTGCGATGCTTTCCACCACTATGTGCTGCAGAGCTCCACGCCCTGCAGAGCCGTTCCGTCATTCGGTTCACGGGCCTGCCTTGGAGTCATCTCGGGGTTGATCGATGGTGGAGGCTCGAGGGCCAGTCGACCGACGAAACCCGCGGGGATCGCTCTCTCGCATAGTGCCGGTCACAACTTTTTAATCCAGAGGGTGGTTGCAAAAAACGCTTGGTTTGGGCAATCCCCAGCGTTCGTGAAGCGACTGCGAGCGGCAGTGCGGTGGGCCAATACGCACAGGTCAGATCAGTTGTGGTACTTGTCCACCAACCAGAAAGAGAGGGCAGAGGACTGCCTGTGGTCGAACCCGCCCGGATCTCGCACGAAGTGGTAAATGTGAGTCGCAGTATTAAAGGAATGTTGTGCGTTCCGATGTGGAGCATGGAAAACGCGTGACAGCGACGCGACGTGCGCTGGCGGCGGTTGCGAAAAAACGCTTGGTTTGGGCAATCCCCAGCGTTCGTGAAGCGACTGCGAGCGGCAGTGCGGTGGGCCAATACGCACAGGTCAGATCAGTTGTGGTACTTGTCCACCAACCAGAAAGAGAGGGCAGAGGACTGCCTGCGGTCGAACCCGCCCGGATCTCGCACGAAGTGGTAAATGTGCGTCGCAGTATTAGAGGAATGTTGTGCGTGCCGATGTGGAGCGTGGAAAACGCGTGACAGTGACGCGACGTGCGCTGGCGGCGGTCAACCCGCTGGATTAAAAAGTTGGGACGGCGGGGTTCGAGAGAGAGAGAGAGAGTGAGAGACGCTGTTGGCCACCCGTTAGGCCATGGGGCCCAGGACAATGTTGGATTTGATGCCGAATTGGGAGTTTCAGACGCATACCTCACCCCCTTTAGTCTTTATTACGCCAAATGGGCCGGCGCTTGGAAAGTGGCTATTTCCGCCCGCTAAGGACTTCCTCAAACAAATTTTCAGATCGACCTTCCAGGGCGATCTGAAATTCTACCATGCCGTCTGAAAGGTGGGGGACGATTTCGCCTAGAGGGACTTCCTCACAACAAAAATATTTCAGATCGATGTTTTCATTGCCGCCTGAGATGGTCGCCCCACCCCCCCCTTCATTTTTTCGCTTAAGACGTCCTCAAACAGCACTTGCAGGTTGCCTTCCATGCCGCCAGAAAACAAAGATTTCGTGTGCGATGACTTCCATAATTATGTGCTGCAGAGCCCCACGCCCTGCGGAGCCGTTCCGTCATTCGGTTCACGGGCCTGCCATGGAGTCATCTCGGGGTTGATCGATGGTGGAGGCTCGAGGGCCAGTCGACCGACGAAACCCGCGGGGATCGCTCTCTCGCATAGTGCCGGTCACAACTTTTTAATCCAAAGGGTGGTTGCAAAAAACGCTTGGTTTGGGCACTCCCCAGCGTTCGTGAAGCGACTGCGAGCGGCAGTGCGGTGGGCCAATACGCACAGGTCAGATCAGTTGTGGTACTTGTCCACCAACCAGAAAGAGAGGGCAGAGGACTGCCTGCGGTCGAACCCGCCCAGAACTCGCACGAAGTGGTAAATGTGCGTCGCAGTATTAGAGGAATGTTGTGCGTGCCGATGTGGAGCATGGCAAACGCGTGACAATGACGCGACGTGCGCTGGGCGGCGGTTGCAAAAAACGCTTGGTTTGGGCAATCCCCAGCGTTCGTGAAGCGACTGTGAGCGGCAGTGCGGTGGGCCACTTCGCACAGGTCAGATCAGCTGTGGTACTTGTCCACCAACCAGAAAGAGAGGGCAGAGGACTGCCTGCGGTCGAACCCGCCCGGATCTCGCACGAAGTGGTAAATGTGCGTCGCAGTATTAGAGGAATGTTGTGCGTGCCGATGTGGAGCATGGAAAACACGTGGCAATGACGCGACGTGCGCTGGCGGCGGTCAACCCGCTGGATTAAAAAGTTGGGACGGCTGGGTTCGAGAGAGAGAGAGAGAGAGACGGCTGTTGGCCGCCTAGTTAGCCATGGGGGATCAGGACAATTGTGGTAAGTTATGCCGAATTGGGATGTTTCAGACGCATACTCACCCCCTTTAGTATTATAAACGCAAATGCGGCCGGGCGTCTGAAGTGGCTTTCCGCCTAGACTTCTTGAAACAAATTTCAGATTCGCCTTCCAGGGCGATTTGAAATCTCCCACGCGTCTGAAAAGTGGCGATTTCGCCATAGGGACTTCCTACAAAAAGTTTCAGAATCAGATGTTCAATTGCCGCATGAGAGTGGTCGTTTTCGCTTAAGACGTCCTCAAACAGCACTTTCAGGTTGCCTTCCATGCCGCCAGAAGTCAAAGATTTCGTGTGCGATGATTTCCATAACTTTGTGCTGCAGAGCTCCACGCCCTGCGGAGCCGTTCCGTCATTCGGTTCACGGGCCTGCCTTGGAGTCATCTCGGGGTTGATCGATGGTGGAGGCTCGAGGGCCAGTCGACCGACGAAACCCGCGGGGATCGCTCTCTCGCGTAGTGCCGGTCACAATTTTTTAATCCAGAGGGTGGTTGCAAAAAAACGCTTGGTTTGGGCAATCCCCAGCGTTCGTGAAGCGACTGCGAGCGGCAGTGCGGTGGGCCAATACGCACAGGTCAGATCACTTGTGGTACTTGTCCACCAACCAGAAAGAGAGGGCAGAGGACTGCCTGCGGTCGAACCCGCCCGGATCTCGCACGAAGTAGTAAATGTGCGTCGCAGTATTAGAGGAAAGTTGTGCGTGCCGATGTGGAGCATGGAAAACACGTGACAGTGACGCGACGTGCGCTGGCGGCGGTTGCAAAAAACGCTTGGTTTGGGCAATCCCCAGCATTCGTGAAGCGACTGCGAGCGGCAGTGCGGTGGGCCAATACGCACAGGTCAGATCAGTTGTGGTACTTGTCCACCAACCAGAAAGAGAGGGCAGAGGACTGCCTGCGGTCGAACCCGCCCGGATCTCGCACGAAGTGGTAAATGTGCGTCGCAGTATTAAAGGAATGTTGTGCGTGCCGATGTGGAGCATGGAAAACACGTGACAGTGATGCGACGTGCGCTGGCGGCGGTCAACCCGCTGGATTAAGAAGTTGGGACGGCGGGGTTCGAGAGAGAGAGAGAGAGAGACGCAGTTGGCCACCCGTTAGGCCATGGGGCCCAGGACAATGTTGGATTTGATGCCGAATTGGGAGTTTCAGACGCATACCTCGCCCCCTTTAATATTATAAACGCCAAATGGGGCCGGCGTCTGAAAGTGGCATTCCGCCTAGGACTTCTTCAAACAAATTTTCAGATCGCCTTCCAGGGCGATCTGAAATTCTCCCATGCCGTCTGAAAGTGGCGATTTCGCCTAGGACTTCCTCACAAAAAGTTTCAGATCGATGTTCATGCCGCCTGAGAGTGGTCGTTTCGCTTAAGACGTCCTCAAACAGCACTTGCAGGTTGCCTTCCATGCCGCCAGAAAACAAAGATTTCGTGTGCGATGATTTCCATAACTATGTGCTGCAGAGCTCCACGCCCTGCGGAGCCGTTCCGTCATTCGGTTCACGGGCCTGCCTTGGAGTCATCTCGGGGTTGATCGATGGTGGAGGCTCGAGGGCCAGTCGACCGACGAAACCAGCGGGGATCGCTCTCGCATAGTGCCGGTCACAACTTTTTAATCCAGAGGGTTGTAGGTACCAAATCGCTCGCAATGATAGCGCTAGATGCTTGCCTGCTCCCCAATGCTTGATGAAACCTCAGCGTGTGAATCGCGCTGCCGGCTCTACTGGCGATTCCAACGCTCGCTCCTGTCATCAACAGTGGTTTGTTTATTCCACGATGCATCCCTGACTCGATTGGTCCTGCGAAGATTACAACTCCCCCGTCTGCTCCGCAACCTCTCGATTTCCGCTTCCCAATGCGCTCTCTCATGATTGTCGCCTTCTGCTGAAACAAACCCTAATGGTATTGCTGCTACATTTCCGCACCGTCCGTCTTGAACGATGCTTGTATCCTTTTGCGGACAAGAAGCATACAACACGTCATACGCACATCTGAGGTAGCCACGCTCCCAGGTGGAGAGCACCCGCATGTCCCTCTCCCTCCTCCACAAGACGCCCCAACACGACCTCCAATATACCCCTGGAGCCCCCTCTAGGCGGATTCTGGGACCCTCTCGAAAGCCCTTCGGTGCCCCAAGGGGTTCGAGGCTAGCCCCAGGATGTCCCCAAGAGGGCTCTGATAGAGCCCAGAAGCGTACACAGAAGGCGCCAACACAGCCCGAGGAGGGTTCCGAGAAGGCCCCGCGACGGGATAAACCAGCGATGCCGCTGCATATCGAAGCAAATGCGCTGTCGGTTTACCAATGTTTATGCCTGGTGTCTGGTCTATCGAGATGTGCATCATACCTTCTGAATTACTCTTCGCTCATATCAATCGGCGCATCTGATCCGCAAAGTTAGCGGTCTGTTTGTTTGTCGGTGCCTGTCTCCGAGCATGCTAATCTCCGCACCTCGCCTCACGCAGCTCCATGGATTTGATTTGCGTGTGAATTCCTCGGGTCTGTTGGATGGCGCCCCCGTCCGCTTTTCGCTCGCGGGCGCGGCGCGTAGCAGGTTTCCCGTGCCCGTCCAGGTTCTGTTTCGTGCCTCGCTGCACCGACGGGGCGCCAGCAAGGGGCGCAGCCTCAAATGCCTCCCCTCCGAGAAAGGGGGGGGGTGGGGCCGGGTGCTGGCGCGCCGCTGACCGTGGGGCGGAGGGCCCCGCGAGACCTCCGAAGCCCTGGAGAGTCGCCCTTGCGGCCCCCCCCACCCCAGGGCGCTCACACTGCCCGGCTCCGCCCTCCTCCTTGCTCCCTTCTCTGCCCGCTCCTCGCTCCGCCCCCCTCCCTCCGCCCTCGGATCCACGCTCCTCAGCCCCGCTTCCTCCTCACCGTTCTCCTCCTCGGCAGGAGCCCGACCTGGCATTTGGGCGGATCGATCCTCGCACCTGCCGAACCAGCGAAGCGTGCCAACCCGTCCCGAGCCACTCTCCAACCAGGGCGTGCTCTTCGAGGAGGGTCCCTTTCTTTCCGCAGCGCGGCTAGGCAGGCACTCTCGCCGCCAGACGATCAAGACGAAGCTGCCGCCTTCTTGGCCTCTGCCCGCAGCAGCGCCTGGAACTCACGGAAATACTCGATGTCCACGCCGACCGCCCTGCACCACTCCGCGTCGCTGCCCTCTGCGAGAGACCGGAGCGCTGGGCGGGGCAGCTCTTTCCTAGGGAAACGAACTCTATACACCGACGCTTTTTCCGACCCTGCGCCGAGATTCGCACAGGAACGCGGATCCTGATGTATACGGGATCCTGGTGTGTACATTTTTGCTTGTTTCCCGAGGAAAACGGGGGAGAAGTATACACCACACCACCCCGACGTCGTCCCCGACCCTCAGAAAAATCCTGGGATTGAAACAAAACCCACCACTGGTGGTGTAGATGTTCCAGTTTCCGACTTCCTCTTCACCAGCGACGCCCGCGGCCGCAGGCACAGGTCGAGGGAGTACGTGAGCACGTCGACCTCTGCGGCGAGCTCCTCCCTGGAGTAGCCGCACTCCAGGAGGAGCCTGTCTGCGAGCGCGCACAGGCAGGGCGCGGGGGGGGGGTCACCTCCGAGGAGGACGCCCCGCCTCTCCTCGAAGAGCGCTTCGGGCGAGCAGAAAGGCCAGCCTCACAAGAAACACCCGGACGGACGAAGCCGTTCCGCACACTTTCTTGCCTGCGAGCGACACGGAGCAACCGCGCGCCGTCAAAGAACGAAGCAACAGCGCCACGATCTTAATTAGGCACTAAGCGCGCAGGAGCGAGCTACGCTGCGACTCAGTAGGCGAAGAGGAACCCTAAGACGGCCCAAGAGAGCCCCAGGGTAGCCCCAGAGAGCCCCGAGAGGCCCCCAAGAAGGCCCAATGGCCACATGACCCCAGAGGGCCCTTCACCAGTGGTTTCCCCAGTGGTTTCCCCAAGCGCTGGGGGAGCACGCGGCCCACCAGCATGGCCGCAGCTTCGCTCGACACTTTGCTACAAAGGCGCTTCCATTTAGCAATGGGTGGCGGTGCTTCGCTGGAGGCCGCAGGCCTCTTCGACAAACTATGGCAACATAAATGAATTTCGCTTCCCGGGCATTTTGCCACGGCGCCTTCGCCAGGTTTTCTTCTGCTGCGGCACATGAAGAATATGCGGCTGTGGGTGCGCTGCTGTCTGGAGGGGCGCCCTCCCCCCAAGAGCAGCCCTCCCAGGCGCCTCCTGAGGTCCTGGAGGGGGCGCCCCCCCCCCCCTTCCCCCCGAGGCGTCCGGCGGCCCGATGTTCCTCGAGACATGGGCCCCCCAGATTGGGCGTGAGTTGATGGGGGGTCCATCGATTTTCTTCCACCGCAAACACGCCACCAGGAGCTCGCTACAAGGAGTCGGCTGCCCCAAAACGCTGGACACCAAGATGTCGTGGTCCAGTGTCGTTGACCCGATCGTGATCCAGTGCCCACAGACGGGGGGGCCAGTCGCATCGCGCAGACGGGCGGCGTCGGTCTCGTCATGGCTGCGGCGGAACGCGGGCACTCCGAGCGGCTCCCCAGGTCCTGCCCTGCCCGCTCCGCGCCGACCGCTGCCCGGGGGCCGGCCTCTCATCCCGAGTCGTCCCTGGACGGCCCCGGGGCCCGCCGCCCGCCTCTGTTGAGGGCCCCGAGGGGGGAGAACAAACACGGGTCGTCCCGACTCTTCGAGGCGCACGGGAGGTCTGCGCCTGGGCTCTCCCCCCCCAGGCCCAGCACCAGAGTTGGGTCGGGCATGTCGTCCGCCAGGCGGATTCTGGAAGCAAGACAAAGCATACTCAAGAAAGAAACAAAGATGGTCAAGCATAGTCAAAATGGTCTCCAGCCTTTTTGTTGTTGTTGTTGTTGTTGTTGTTGTTGTTGTTGTTGTTGTTGTTGTTGTTGTGTGTGTGTGTGTGTGTGTGTGTGTGTGTGTGTGTGTAAGAGAGTGAGACTATTTTTGAATATTCATCTTGTAGAGGGACATGCCCGACTTAACACCAAAGGCCACCTCGGCGAAAATGCCACCTTGACGCGCCGCTTGGCGAGCTCGACTACACGCAAGAGCGACCCTGGGCAAGAGTGACCTTCGGCGCCCGGCTTGAGGGGGCCGCGGGGAGGCGAAATCCAGGCGCGCCAGCCAATGCCGGGGGGACCCCTGCGGGCCCGCACCAGCAGGTCGCTCTGGCGAAGGGTCACTCTCGCGCCTGGCCGACGAGAGCGACACGGGGCCTGGCTGCTGGCCGGTACTCTGCGTCCACCCTGGGCCAGGCGAAGAAGCTCTCGCAGGCCCTGGACGCGGGGTCCGCGCCCAGCTCCTCGCGCAGGAATCGCACGAGGGGCGCCAGCTGCCCCTGCGCGTCGTACGTCAGCAGCCTCGGGAAGCTGCCGCACAGGCGCGCGGCCTGCTGGAGGATGGCCAGTCGGCACGCCCTGAGATCCGACGTCTCGAACAAGTAGCGACATCGTGCAAAAATCACGACTGGAACCCTCGACCGCATCTTTCTGCGCCATGTTTTTCCCAGATAGCTCCTCGGAGGGCTAAGAGGGTTAGAGAACAGAAGCTGGCAAGCAGGGCTACGCCAGCTACCTCTCCACGGCCGCCGCTCAGGCATCCCCGCAACGCCCTGCTTGAAATCGCAGCGTGTTCCGGCAAACGTTTTCCACCTCGTTTCCAATACGCGTGCCGGAAGCCTTTCCGCAGCTCTCCCGAAGCTGCGCAGCTGCCTTTCCAGAGGTTGCAAGCTCCCCAGGCATACTTCCTAGCGTCTTTGCAAGACTTTCCCACAAGCGTTTCCCTTCTACCCTGACCTTCGAAGCAGGTCGTAAAACAGCTTCGGCCTGAGCAGGCATAAAACTGCTCTCGTTCGACCTGAGCAGGCCGTTAAACTTCCCGGATGGCTCCTTGGAGAGCTTAGATGGCTGTAGAGTTCGAAGCTGGGACCGCAAGGTCGCCCGGGAGCTCGTTCCGGCTTCGCGGCGGGGCCGGCCTGAACTCGCAGCGTGCTCCGGCAGGCCTTTTCTAAGCGTTTCCCAGTACGTGTGCCCGCAAGCTCTCCACAACCCCCTTCGGAAGCTCCTTCCGGGAGCGTCCATAAGTCTTTCGAAACGCTTTGGACGGCCTTCTGGCGCTCCGCCATCCGGGTTTTGGACTTCACAACTTCGAGCCTGATTGATCTGCGAGGGTCCTGGTGCGCGAGACCAAGCGATAACGCCCGGCCCAAACAAAAATCGAGACGCCAGGGTCGATCGGGGCACTGCCGGCCCTCCATGGCGCTCTTCCTCCTTCTGTAGAAGCCTCCTACATGGGGTCCGAGTAGATGTGGTCGGAGGATCGCGCCGCATCGCCAATGCATCGTCGATGCGTCGGCGATGCACCAGCGATGCATCGTCGACGTCGGCGATACATCGGCGACGCCGACGTGAAGCAAATCGGCCCCACATCGAGCCGTATCGGCGAGGCATCGGCGATGCTGCGCGATCCTCCGACCCCATCCACTCCGACCCCATCTAGGAGGTCTATAGATTCTGGCGCCTCTGGGCAACTTCTCGTCGCCACGGCTGGATCCGCTTCGGAGAACGGGTCAGGAGGGACCTCCCTGGAGGGTCGGAACAAGCTCTGAGCGGATTTGGGTGGGCCAAGCGAACCGCCGTTGTCTCAACTGGCCCGTCCCCGAGCCTGGGGCCGGCTCATGCCGGGCCCCTGCGTGCCGTCCACTAGGAAGTCGAAGACCGCCGTCGTCGCCGCGGCGTCCTGCAGCAACGCGGCTGGGTGACGCAGCGCGAGGCCGTCGATGGCGACGCCGAGCCCCTCGAAGAGGCGCCGGCGGTCCTCCACGGCCTCGGGCCCCATCAGCAGACAGTGGGGGGCGACCTGGGCCATGGAGTCCGCCGCCTTGCGCGAAGCTACCGCGTGCCTCCATGCCTCGAGTGTGATCTCCATCTGCTTCGTGCTGGCGGTGAGCAGGTCCGGGTGGGCCCGGACGACAGCGGACAGAGTCTGGCTGCGGGATATGCCCACGCCCGTCCGAAGGAAGCCGAGGACCTCCCGCACGGACGCAGCCGTGCAGCACAGCAGCTCCGGGTGCTTCTCCAGCAGGCGGGCCGCCTGCGCGGTGGTCAGCCCCAACTCTCCGCGCAGCGGCAGCAGCGACTCGGGCAGAACCGCCGACGGGCCCGCGGCGGCGCTCGATGCGCTGGCCGCTGCCGCCGGCCGTTGCCGAGGCCCCGCCGGGCCACCGCCCCAGCGCGACGGCGCTGGTTGGCCCGCCCAGGCGCAGGTGGCCCGCTGGCGGAGCTGCGCGGGCCGCCCGGGTGCGGGGGCGCTGCGTCGCAGCGCTGCCCGCCCCAGCCGCGCGGCCCTCATGGAGGTGCCCGCGGCGGCAATGGCCCAGCGGGCGTGGGAAAACCCCGACATCCTGAAGACGCATCACTTTTCGATCTGGGCGTTTTCGCCCAGATTCGGGCCCCGGGGCCCTCACAAATGGATCCAGCTGGAAAAGAAGGGCAGGAACGGAAAAGAGGTCCAGGGCTCCAGCCGTTTTTTTTTCGCGATGCCTCAACTGTTTGAGACGTCGGATCTTAGGGGGAAGCGCTGGCGCGCCCGCCAGCGCGCGTGCGGGGTCGGCCCCGAGCTCGGGCAGGCCAGCGCGGGGGGAGGCGTGGCAGAGGGGCGTGGCAGAGGGGCGGGCGCGACTGCTGTGCGGCGAGGTCAAGGGGCCCAAGGACACACAAATAAATACACACAAATAAAAGGATTTCCCATATTTTCCAATATTTTCTGTTTTTTTTGTCTTCCTCCCCACTTCCCATATTTTCCTATATTTTCTTGGGGATCGACGATTAGTTGTGTCTGTGTTTTTTCCCCTCGAGGAACCACACCTCAGCAGATTGCTGCCAACTTCGCGGCGCTCACAGGTGGCCGATCAGGCGGGCGACGTGCTCCATCTGCTGCGGTGGCTTCGGCACTGGGAAGGCGGATCAAGACTGAGGCAACGTCAGGGTCGCAGGGAATCGGAATATCGATTTTCAGCAACTGGCGTCAACCCACTTGGCCAACACGCTCGTCACATATCTTGCAGCAGCCACTTTGATCCGCCAACGCTCCTTCCTTCTACAACCTCGCCCGCGACCACTATAACTACTTCCAGCCTAGTAGTAGTACCAGTACGAGTACACATGCGACTTCCACCACTGCTGCCGACTACTGCGCGCGCCCTCCCTCTTGAAATTATGTATTTCATTTGTGATGCGAGCGGTATCGCTGTTCTGGGCCCCCCTGGGAATTATTCATTTTAATTGGAATGCAAACAAAACCGGTGGGGGATCGTCAACTGCTTCTTCTGCTTCGACTTTCCGAGGTCCGCGCGGATATTTTTGATCCACGCTGGGGCCCTTCCCTGGCACGCTCTCAAAATTTTCCCCAATCAGAGCTTGCCTCTGTAGGGGTCCTAGCGGATTCATATGGTTAGGTGAAATTCGTCGCCGACTTCGGTGGCCGGCCTGGGTGCCCGGGTGCCTGGAGGTGCCCGGGTGCCCAGGTGCCCGGATGCCCGGGTGCCCAAGTGCCCGGGTGCCCAGGTGCCCGGTGGCCCTAGCCCTATAGCCCAATAGCCCTACAGCCCTGCCCTATAGTCCTATAACCATACAGCCTTATAGCCCTGTAGCCCCATAGCCGTCTAGTCCTATAGCCCCTATAGCCCTATAGCCCTAAAAAGATTAGGATGTTTTTTTGTTTCCGGTATCGTTACGTTTATGGCGATTTTCTCCTTCGTTCGCCGCTACCTTGTCCCCCATCTCGGGTCCCTGCTTCCTTTCGCTGCTCTCCCCCGCCTTGAGCCCAAAGGCGCCCTTCCGCCTGCTGGCCTTGGCTGCCGCGCGGAAGCGCGCGTCACGAAGGCTTCTGGTGGCTTGCCTCCGTGGCACGGCAGGCTCGACGTGGAGGCCTCCCAATGGGGTCCGAACAGATGGGGTCGGAAGATTGCGCCGCTTACATCGGCGACGTCGGCGATGCATCGGCGCCGTCGGTGTGGATACAACCATGCCGCACGTCGAGCCGCATCGCCGATGCATCGGCGATGCGGGGCGGTCCTCCGACCCCATCAACTTGGGCTCCATTTGGGAGGCCTGGCTGGCGCCCGGTACCGTCTGTCCCCGTCGGGTGCGTCTCCCTCTGGTCGAGGTGGCCTCCTCGGGCAGCCCTGGGCGACGCCCGCTCCCGGGTCTGCGGTGATGGGCTGCATGTGGTCGGCCCAATTTCTTGCCCGTCCTCTGCCCATCGATGCGCTGGGCCGCGCACCCGGCTGCCGACTCAGAAAGAGTGTGCGTTTGCGTGCGTGTGGCTTGAGCGCAATCGTCACGCGTGCGATTACAATATATGCCGATGCGCCCCGTTGATACACCGCGCGGTCGTTCTGCACATCAATGGAGAAGGAACAGTGTGTGTGTAGCACTTCCATCTGCTGTTCGCGCCTGCGGATCCTCTGCGCCGCCGACTTAAGAAAAGTGTGTGTGTGTGTGTGTCTCCCTCACGTTTCTGTTCGCTGCACCTGCGTTTCCCGCCCTGTCTTTTCACCAGCCCCTTGCAGTCTCGCCTTTCCTGCCGCCGCTGCGCCTCGTCTTGCCTCGCCTGCACCGCAGGAGCCGGCCTTGCGTTTCCTCGCCGTTCCCCTGAGCCTCTCCCCGCGCCTTCCTGCCCTGGGCTTGCATGTTACACGGTTGATCCCCCTCTGGTGGATCCCCGTCCCTGGCTTCCGAGCGGGCCAGCCCCGCGTGTTTCCCGCCTTCCGCTCCTCGATCTTTCCGCCTCGACGCCGCGCGCGACGCCGCGACGCCAAACGCCTGTGCTCACGTGGCTCCTCTCCTCTGCCTCTGCGGCTGCCTCCTCCTTCGCATCGCCCCTCGCACTCACATGTGGCCCCACTCGCGTCTGCGCAGCCCGCTCACGCCCCAGGGACCTGGACCGCGCCCGCCAACTCCAGACATGGACACGTGGGCGTGTGTGTCGGGCCCTCCTGGTCGGGAACTCTAGTCTCAGCGTGTCGCAGCGGCGGCCCTGGTGCAACGCTATCTCTTGCAAGCGGATGGCGTGTCGCTCCGGCGGGAGGCTCGGGAAAGCTCGTGACGTTGACGCTGGGGGGCCGTTTTTTTTTTGGGGGGGGGGCCGCGAAGGCAGGTTCCTATCGAGACGATTTTTGCTTCACGCTTGAGCGCTTGTGCGCTTGGAGCGGAGAGGCCAAACCATGATAATATCACGTTTAGCCGCGATCGGCGGCGGCTCCTGGGGAGGAGGAACGAAGAAAAGGAGGAGGACGACAACAGAACACGAGGAGCAACGCCGGGATGCCCAGGAAATGGTTAGCGTGTCGCACCCAGGCGTGGTGGGCCATACCCGGCGGAGTGAGACGCCATTTCACAGTTCCCGGCCGTTTTTTTTAATCTTACTGCGGATGATTCTGAAGTTACAACATGGTGACCCAACTCATCGAGGCCAACACGCGTCGCTGCAAGTTGCTTGCTGTCCAAGTCAGGCGTGAAACGAACGGCAACGCTCACCGTGCGGACATGTGCGGCAATGCAACTGGATGCACTGCAAATTTCTCCTCATTATTTCTCTGAGTAGCGAGCAAGCGTATACTTCCAGCACGCACATATGCTGCAGGCACAGCAAAGCGCGCTAGCAAAATGGTGGCACTCAGACGCGCGCAGTCTGACATCCACCCACCAACGAAGGCCGTGACACTAAAGCGCACGGAACAACACGCAACTGGTGTGCGGGCAAAAGGCTCCATCGGACTGTACAAAGAGGAGCCCGCTCGACCAGCTTGGCAAGTTGGCCCTGCAGTACTATTCAAGGCTCTGTGCTGCAGGCTGACAATTAGCACACGCACTGCATCAAAGAGGTCTTACAATTATTTTTCCACGGCTGCTTCTCACTCCTGCATCGACTCATGGGGTGCTGGCGTGCTGGCCTAAGCCATCGCGTCGCCACCTATGACCTCACCCCACCTAGTATGAACAATTGAGAATCCGGATCCTGGAACAGACCGTGGCACAACTTGAGAGAATGTGCAATCCGTTGAAGCACTTCTCTGGCCAACTTGAGCGACGACTGTACACTTCTTGGTGAGCCTCACGTGGACCTGGCACGAATACTACTGCACGGCAGTCCGCGTTCACGACTACTTTTGGTGTAGCGCCCGTGGAAATAACTTCCACGATGCTCTTTGTGTGCATGTGCCCGTGCACTAAGAGCGTGGCTCGTGATCGCATGAATAAATTGAATATGCGCTTCGCATCGTCGCCATGCACGAGGCGCTCCTGTCCAGGCAAGCACGGGTTGCTGTGCGTTACAACGACGTCTGGGTGTGGAGGACGGAGCACACTTGAGCTGGACAATTGATGCGTATGGCACTCTACAAGACAATCGCTAGAACTCGATAGCTGCGGCGCAATGGTCCTCATCAGTGAAGGATTTCCCACCATTATGCTTTCAAAAACACGAAAATACTCCTCCCGCTCGGTTTTCTTAAGGCCTTGCGTGAAAGAGGCCGGAATACCATGTATGGCCCCGATGCAAGGTCTTCTTCTGACATGTGACGCTGTTGGGCCTGAGTCGGTGTCAGCCCCTGGCTTCCTAGCGGCATAGCAGCTTGATGTGCATTGACGCTCGAGAAACTGCTCGTACAATCTGGCCTGATTGGGGTTCTGATCGCGCCACTGCTTTTGTTGTATGCTTCGCTTGTCCAGAGTCGTTTCGGACTCGCTCCCCACGTCCCTTTTCCTTATTTGCAGCCTTTGGTAGACGGCACTCCGCTCTTCCTTGCTCAGTTTCAGGCTATTCAAACTGGAAGCAACTTGTTCGCGGTCGAGCTTCAGGTCGCCAATTGCGTCTGCTAAACCATGAGGGTCGTGTCGGAGAGCAGACAAGAACTCTAGGTGCTTGGAAGTGTCGTTGTCTGTTTCAGAGTAGGACGCCCGTTGGCCTTGGCACTTGTTCGCATTCGTGGCATCAGGTGTCTGCTGCCCATCGCTCGCCCGTCGACTCACCCACACTGCTGAAGTTTCCAAATCCAATGTCCCACCATGCGGAAGCACACAGAAACAGTCGTTTGTTCCGTTTCGCATGTTCAAATGTGCCTCCGACATCAAATCGTGATTCCCGTAAACGAGATACAACTCTGCACCAGGACCCAACCGCTCGACTATCCACTGTTGCAGCCAGGTGAAGTCGGGTGCAGCGTCGGATGCGACTCCTCGCAGCGAATTGTTGCATCTGGCCATGTCACCTGCTACGAGTACCAATGGGTCGAGCAATGCTCCCTCTTTGTGCCGATGGAGAACGTCCTCAATCAAACGCCCTGCCTGCTCCCAGAAATGCTCTTGTGTACTGGAGTCGAACTGCCAGTCGGACAAGCATATGAGAGCTCGGCAACCCGATCCTGCAGAATCTGTCAACCAATCGCTGAAGAACCTTTCCGAGTAACCGTGCGCGAAATGAACGACAGGCGGGTGTTCAATGCGGGGTTCCACGTTCCGATTGTCGCACAAAGGCACTGCCTCTACCAACAGGGAGGCCTCCATATCGTCTGGCGGTTCGAGCAGCGCTTCACTGGTGTGCAGGGGAGGGGAGGGGCAAACAAGATGC